TATATATATATATATTCCCCCGGAGAATTTTTAGACTCAACTGCGCCCCCTAGTGGCGACACCTTTAACTGCCGCATTACGTCCGAGGCTAAAGGTGAAATCAGTAACGAAGATTCCGCCACGGTAGTAACCTCACTCACTGTCGCACTTGTTTATTTTTCATGTAACTTTCAGACGAAGGTAAGGCAAGACCGCGATTAAGTTAACTCAAGTGCACCTTTAGTCACGAATACGACAACTGTATCGCCGGTAAAGCAAGCGTAGATCGAATAATTGACGACAGTGTGCATGGCTAAGTAGCTGCTCACAGTATAACTTTATATTAGCTTAGATTAGCTTGCTAACGTTAGCGGAGACGCTAACTAGCAGGTTAGCCAAGTTTGCTGGCATTGACAAGGTACATGCATATTATATAAAAAAGCACAAACATGTTAATTATCGCGGAGAAAACAACGTATTGTGATAATATATACGTAAGTTGCGTCGAACGGATTTGTTTTTAAAGTAGTGATTGTGAAATAGACTTAGCTAGCATGCTAACATTGACTGGAGTCAATTTGGTTCTTCCAACGAGGCTAATTTAACACCAGCTTATACAGTTTCACCCAGAATAAGTGCATTTTAATAAAAAACGATTATGCTGTTTCCCCATTTTGACTCGTTTATCAGGTTGTTGCTAGCATTAGCAAGCTAAATCTGGGTCAAGACAACTAGTAAGTAAGTGACTTATTACTGGGTAGTTGGGACATTAAGTGGCTATTTTTTTAAAAAATGCTTTAGCCTAAGGAAGGTCATATTTTGAACACTGTTATTTGTGTTGGTAACAATAAGATGTTGATACAAACTAGCTTCATTTTGGTTAGCATTGGTTCAGGTTTGTGTTCAACTTGCAGGCGAGCTAAAGAGAAACCGAGATCCAGATCCAGGCGGAAGAAGTCACCATGGCCCGTCTGGTTGCAGTTTGCAGGGAAGGGGAGGAGGACTACCCGTTTCTGGCAAGACAGATTCCCCTGTACATCGATGACACACTCACGGTAAGATTACAGGCTTATAATAAGCAGAGTGAAGCGATTGCTGTTGTGATACCGGCACACAATTACCACGTTTAATGCTTAGGGAGCAAGTGTGTAAACTTGGGCTCTTGTCTGATGCACAAAACTCAGTTTATTTGATGCAGCTAAAGCAAACAAAGAACACAAACATTGCTAAAATTGATTAAAAAAATTACTGCAATTTTAGAGGAATAAAAAAAACTAAAATTTTCCCAGTGAGCCAGTCAGATCATCCTGCTTCTGTGGTTTTAGTAAAACACTTTCAGATCAACAGATTGTCATTAAAGTTGCTACATATAATAAACCGTTACTTACCTTTAAATTAATTCTATGTGTCTGATAAGTGACATTTTATCACTGGAATCAAAGCCAAATGTGTGAGCTCGCCTTTGCCAGTGATGGAGGGGTTGTCGCATACCTAGTTTGGGTGTTTAAACACACAAGGTAACACCTTGTTTGTATATGTATTTAGAGGTGTTTTTATGAAAAGGAGATTGTCCCTTGTGGATGTTCAAGTTGCTGCGAAAAGATTGTGAAAAGTAGTTTTTGGGTTTTAAATTTTATTTTCACAACTTGGCACCCAATATGTCAGTTCTGGAGTTTTCTGAGCCCAGTCAATACTGTTTATARCAAATTAGGATCTGTCCACGCTCGCCTGATCTGAAATAAATTAGTTACCACATCATGGGTGGAGGTTTTTGTACAGGCACACTGAAAGCTGCATCAGCAGCTTAGATCTGTAGCTTCTGTCCTCAGCACAGCAACAATTTGAGACACAGTGCTGACAGTCTAAAGTTACAGAGCGGATCAAATGACGTTGCAAACTAAAGTAGAACCAAACCAGAGTTTCTTATAGTTTCATATATGGTGTTTCCTTAAAAAGATCACAACAGACAAAACAAAACTTTGAGGTTTTTAACATTGTATATTATTGGTTGTCAGATGGTGATGGAGTTTTCTGACAGTGTGATGGATGTTGACAGCCATGAACTCAGCACTTCTCGTTGGAAACAGTTTTCTGAGGTGAGGAGTTTCAATTTTACAAACTGTTACGTTTTTTTTTAAAAGGCACGAGTTGTTTGTGAGAATAAATAATTKACTTCAGTGTAACTCCCTGTCCTCTAGCATTACTCCAAGCTGAAGCAGCAGGACCTGAACGTTGCCTTGATGGTGACGATCAGAGAGGTGTTCGGTGCGTTGTCTCAGCTGGTTCCGTGCGTGGGCTGCAGACGAAGCGTCGAGCACCTCTACTCACGTTCTTTGGAGTCAGGAAACCCAGCCCTGAAGCCSCTCATGGTGAAACCTAAAGGCATGCTCACTGTCACCAAGTCCTGTGTGACAGACACGAAGAAGCTTTATTCTCTCTTCTACATCCATGGGTAAGATGGAGAAATGTTCTTTTACATTTCCTAGAAAAGTGATAAAACCAAYATGATTAAATTGCCAGTTGAAAGAGAGAAATATAACTTAGGGTTTTTATACAGCTGTGAAATAACAATATTTATTCACTTTGTGTTTAATGTTCACACATGTTTCAGGTTAATTTGATACTTTTCTTAAAAAATGATTTGCTTGAATGCATCTCAAACTAATTGTGGCATACGATTTATTTGTGTACATTTTTTATTTTTGTACTTTGTTTACAGATCAAAGTTAAATGACACGATTGATGCYATTCCAAAAAGTAGAAAGAACAAACGCTGCCAGCTGCACTCCTTAGACACTCACAAACCGAAACTTTTGGGGTAAGTGAAATGTTTTTTTATTTGTCTTTATCACGTTTTAGTTGTTTATTTTTTTTTCTCAGCTGCGCTGAAACTGGTGCTCATTGAACTGCTCTGAAATAAAAGCTGTTTRGATCCACCTCTTATCTCTAATTATAGGCTTATTTCAGATTTCATCATTCCTTAGTAAAATAAACACAAAATCTATTTACCTGTCAKGGGTAGACATAACCATTGTTTAGGTTGTCCGAGACAACCTGTTTTCGTTTCTGACAACCAGATCCTGTCTCCTGGTTGTTAAAATTCTCTGCCGTGGATGTCCATCATTTGTAAAAATGAAACGGAGAAAAAAACTTTGTAAAACCATACAGAACACTAAACTGTAACTTTTAATAAGGTCATGTACACATAATACTCCTATTTAACTGAAAATGTTTGACCTATGAGCAGAAAGACGCTTTTGAATGTTGAACTCTTTTTCAAAGAAGAGGATGAGGAAGTTTTTATTCACGCAGATCAACCTGGCTGACTGAGAACAATTATATATAATGAACTTCATCTACTGAACAATATACTTGTTAAATTATATTTTTCTTGAGATTCTTTTGGACAACCAAAATGTTTTGCGAACCAGGTCTATCCCTGTGGGAAAGTGGTCTTTATTCAAACAGTGATTTTGATGTTCAAGTTGTGAACCTGCAATAAACACTAGACGCCTCAGGCCAGTCTCCTACTGGTTTGCCTCGGTGTGATTTCTGAATGGACCGAACAGAAAAGTAGGTTGAAGTCAGCCCACCYCTGATGTTCTGCAGAGCCAGGTAGAAACAGGTGAAACAGTCGACGAGTGGTGAACATTCAGCCGGTGCAGCTCAGCTCAATAATGTGATGAAGTGATGACATCTGGTCTGCTCAACCAACAGCAGGATTAAACAACAAAATAAATCTACCACKGAGGTAAAATTAATGAGGCACAGCAACTTTGTATTTACTTAAAAACATGAGTTAACCACAAACAGGATCTCTAAACTGAGTTGGTTCATCATGTTTTGAGAACAACACGAGGGAGACGTCTGTCTTTAACACAGCTCAGTTCCTCTCCACGTCTCCGTCAGTTCCCTGATGCTCGCCTCATTTCTGAAAGTTCATGTCTGAGCGGGACGTTATCTGCTCCATCTGTGATTTATAAACAGCCAGAGGAAGCTTACAGGCGAAATGGTCTGTGAAGCCATTTCCCAAAGCTGTTTTAGGAAAGAGCAGGCTGGTTCTAAAAGAAATGTCCTCCTTGTACTTTCATGTACTCAGCGCTGCTTTTGACAGTTGTAACTTTTTTTGGACTGGTTAGAAAATCGGTTGACTTCTCCGGTCCAGTTCTTCACTGGTTAGAGTTCGAGAAGTTAGAGATAGAAAGTTGTTTGTGGTGTACCTCAGGTTTGTCAGAGGAAAACAACTGCAGGTGAAGGGCATTTCACTTTCGGATAAATAATGATCACTGATTGGTCAGTTGCTGACAAACCCACAATCCATTGTTTTTTTTGTTTTGTTTTTGTTTTGTTTTTTGTTTCTACTGGCCTCCAATAATCTGCTGCACTCAGACTAAAGCTGATCCAAAATGCAGCTGCTTGTTTTCTCACAGCTACAAGCAGATTTGAACACGTCACACCTGTTCAGGTGATCTCTGTACTGTCTTCCCATTGAAAGCAAAATTCATTTTAACATCTTTCTACTTGTGTRTAAAGTATTAAGTGGCCTTGTACCACACTTTAACCAGTTGTACTCCAGTCTTAGTACTTTCCTCAAGTCAGGGGAAGCAGCTGTATTTATTTATTTACTCTTACTGAGATCACAGATCTTTTTTTCAAGGGAGCCCTGGGCCTGAAGGCAACCTAACCTGCACGTTTTTGGTCTGTGGGAGAAATCCCACACAAGCACAAAGAGAACATGCAAACTCCACACAAAAGTCCCCAGGTCCAAACCGGGGATCGAACCTGGGACCTTCTTGCTGTGAGGCATCAGTGCTAACCACAGAGCCGTCGTGCTTCTATTTGTTACAAATGATGATGTTTTTACTGCCTGTGCGTTTCTGTGTTTGTGGTTTCATGAAATTGCTCTTTTATTTCTGCATGTGTATGAATGTCTGTCTTTTGTGAAATGTCTGTGTGTATTTGGTTGAAAAAGCACATTGGGCTGCTGCTAGTAACAGTTGCTTTTTAATTTAAGGGCGGTGTCRTAGGATGTTACAGATTATCTGTTGTAAACATCACATTTAAAAAGATGGCAGCTTGCCGTCATTATCTGCAAATGGCAACACAAATGCCCAAACGTTGGTTAATCTGAATGAATCTTTTTTTGCTTTGTGTGTTTTTTTTTTGTGTGTGTGTAACTATTCTGTTAGTAACAAAGCACTTCAACACTCATTATTTCCCACGTTSATTTCAAAATAAATGTTTTAAGCAGTGGTTGTTGCATTTTGTACAGGGGCAGCTGGATGGACGTGTGGGAGCTGATGTCTCAGGAGTGCAGGGACGAGGTGGTCCTCATTGACAGTGCTGGTCTCCTTGAGACACTGGAGGCATACTTGTGTAAACACAGGTAATCTGTAGTAATCATATAGATTAGTAGAATGCTTTAATTTCCTCCRTAAATCGCTTGAATTTAGGAATGAGCTGGTGAACTTTGACCTAAACGTCCTTTTTGCCAACAGGTTTTGCTCAGACTGCAAGAATAAGGTGCTGAGAGCGTATAACATCTTGATTGGGGAGGTGGAGTCCAGTGAGGAGAAGGGCTACTGTGCTGCTCTGTATGAGGGGCTGTGTTGTTGCCCCAACGAACGGCACATTCACGTGTGCTGTGAAACGGACTTCATCGCTCATTTACTTGGCAGGGCAGAGCCCGAGTTCTCAGGAGCGTACGAGTGAGTCGACCTTTACGACAAACGCAGCCGTGTTCAATTCTGTTTAGAGAGAGGAATGTTGTGCAGTGCCTTGCTTCTTGTCAGATTATTTAGAAATCTAGCTAATGGTATTTTTTTATTTTTTGTTTTTTGCTTCAGACGCAGAGAAAGACATGCGAAGACGATTGACGTTGCACAAGAGGAGGTGCTGACCTGTTTGGGTATTCACCTCTACGAACGACTGCACAAAATTTGGCAGAAACTACGAGCAGAGGAGCAAACCTGGCAGATCTTGTTCCACCTGGGAATTGATGCACTAAGGAAAAGTTTTGAGGTGTGCTGGTGTAGATATCTCTGATTGTATCAGTTTGTGTTCATGAGACAGATTTCCATCCTTCTCCATCCTACTGATTGCATCATTTTTAAAACTGAGGGGGAGTTGGACTCTGGTGGTTTTCTGAGCGGTCTTGTTAAAGCCGTCCAATCTCACACAGCCTATTGGAGTCTTTGTGAGACCCCCCCCACACACACACAAAAGAAAGTAAATGAAAAACTTGCCATGTTCTTTATTTTAAATGTTTTTGTTATAAATATGTACAAATGTTATCACTCACAATATTATAGGAACAACAAGGTTTTGGATGTTTTAAGCTWGCTTGTATTTAGAATCATTCTGTGTTAGAACTGCTCTGTGGTAAATGTAATTTATTTTAAATTACRTTTATGTAATTATTTAATTTTAAATTACATCGATCAAATATGAAGAATAGATGGTATTAAATGACTACATGAGCTAAAAGYCTTTAAACATATCTTTTAAAAAGAAATGCTAACTTTAAAAGGTCAGTCTTAAATATTARATTGTAGCTGTGCAAAAGACACATTTACTATAATTGTTTAAATGTAAAATTATAGCACATACACACATAAACATAATGTGTGCGTTTGCACTGAAAAGTTATGAAGATGGTTAAATATGTGTTTGACAGTATCTGACTCAAGTCTTGCCAAAAATGTGGTGAGGTTGCTTTTTTTAAACAGTGAAATKATATAAAAGTAAACTACAGAAAAGCTGTTCAAAATCACTGTCTTCTTTAAAAAACCCTTTGGTCCTGAGAGTATAAATGGTTCAGGTTCAAGTCTTTGTATAAAGCTTCATTAGTGAATACTATACTGTGTACTTTAACTAATAACATATAGTATTGGTAGTATACTGTGWATGCCCTTTCTCAAAGTACATAGGTGAGTGTTAGGTTTGTACTATACTGTGTGTGCGTGCATGCACAGGTGGCTTATAGAAAACAATTTCAGTCAAAATATATTTATATATATTTTGCTTTAATGTGTGTGTGTGTTGAACATGTTACCCTGACCACAGATGGCTGTGGAGAAGGTGCAGGGCATCAGTCGACTGGACCAGTTTGTGGAGGAGCTGTCTGAGGAAAAACGAGCCAAAGAGCTGAAGCTGGAGAAAAAAAAACAAAAGCGTAAAAATCGACGCAAAAACAAGTGTGGCTTGAACATGAAGCAAGGTAAAAACAAACAAACAYGAAGCCATCAAAACTGGATCTTAATGTGATGAAATATAACTCCAAATGAGACATTTTGACTTAAAGTTTCTTGTCTTTTTCTCCAGATTTGTCTCACACCAGTAATGGAAGTGACTGCGGCTACTCCTCAAGTATAGAAGGCAGCGAGATGGGCTCACGAGAAGGCTCCGATGTGGCGTGCTCCGAGGGAATCTGYAACCACGACGAAGCAGGTCAGGATCCAGCAGATTACAGCGTGAACGTTCGCTCTGTTTTCTGCTGATCTCACAGTTCATTCTGTACCGTCTGAAGGTGGCTACACACCCGTCAGTCCCTGTGCTGAAGACAAGGAGGAGGACGCAACGGACAGCTGTGTGGACTGCTGGCCGCGCTCTGAGGAGAACTGTCAGTGCAAGAGCAAAAAGAAGAAGAAAAAGGGCAGGGGCTTCTGCAGCAACCAGGTGAGACCACRTGTACGGAGAAACGTTGGGTTTKTTTTTTTTTTTTAAAGATATAAATCAGATGTTTCCATAAAACGTACAGCTCAAACTGCTGAGTGCATTTCTGGTTTATTTAAATTGAATTATAGACAAAGAGTACAAGTAAATGTTTTAAACCAGCTCTGATTTTGTTGTTCAGTTCCAAAAATCCATCTCTGTAAAGAAACGAGGTCTTTTCAGATAAACCAAACACAAAACGTAAGAACATTTGTGTGTTAGATTAGTTCTATGTTGTAACAATTCTTCTTGACAATAAATCTTACACAATTGGAAAGCCTGCTTATTTCCCTTTTTTAAATGGTGCCACATTTGTAAGGAACATGCATTTGAAGAATGAGCAGTAGAGCTCTTGTTTTGAGCTTCTGGTTCCCCTCAGAGGCTGCTAATCAGCTGCTTGACATAAGATTTATCTACCAAACACAAAGTTCCTCACTGTTCCTGCTAGGTTTATATGCACATCCTAAGATGTRAAAGTCAAAGCCTTAATATGCAGCTTTTTATATTCTCTGAACTACAAGTTTTAGCCCTAAATCTTAACCTTCTTGACTGAAACTAGACAAACATACAAAAAAACCTTGAACTGTGCAGTTAAGCTATTTTACATTATATTATTTTTAATACATTTATTCAATTCAATTCAATTCAAAAATACTTTATTGATCCCAGAGGGAAATTAGGTAAGTAATTTATAAGCATAAGTAGTAAAAATATTTTTAGTTTTGTAAGTAATTTATCACCATTGTTTATGTCTCTATTAGGTGTAGCTAAATCTGCTAATAGTCTGTTTGTACTTGTGTGTCAGAAACAGGCAAACATTGGTTTAGAAATGTAAAAAAAGAGTTTATCTTAAAACAGGAAAGATGTCTGAACTCTGTCTACAGACAACGAGCACAAATAAACAGACTCGTATTTCCACAGGGACAAAAATGTGACGGTCGTAAGTCTGACGGAAACGCACCCGGCCGCAGTCTGACATCAGCACACGCTTGTCGAACCAAAGGATTATTTTCCTCCTCCTGTGGGGATAAATTTGCCAACACGGCACTACGGTCACCATGGWCAGTCCATCAGGAGAACCTCAGTCTTCAGGTCGAACCTCCAAATGAAAATAAAAGCCTGGAGCAGCTTCTGGTAAGTTTGATGTGTGTCAATGCAAATTGAACTCTCTCATAAATAAGCTCATGGGTCGTTACAGAGCTTCGTGYTGAGATTTTCCAGTTTTAAATGTATTGCAATGTTTAGATTCTGACCCCTGCTAACCCATCCTGCACTTGTGTTTACAACACAGGATGATTCAGAAGTAACCTCCGATGAAGAGAGCTGTCTGACACAGGACGAAATCCAGGCATTTTTACAACAAAACCAGTCCTTCTACAACAACCGCCACCAGTACCGACAGCTCCTGAAGGAGAAATTCACCAACTACTGCCGCGCCACCGAGCAGAGCAAGCCGGTCTGTGGGACATGCTTTGCCACAACCAGTGTCAACTAACTGCACTAATATCTTCTCCTGGAAAAGTCAAACACTCACGACCACTGCTGCAACACTTAAAATTTTTAAAAATTACATTTCAGGAGTACTTTTGATGTCTTGTTTGGCCATTTCTCCTCTGACGTAAGCGTGATTCTTACTTTTTCCATGTCATCTATTTCTATTTTGCACTCGTACACCGGCACAGTGGTTCATCTCTTTCTACATGCRTAGGTGTCGTTTTCTGACCAATCCTGTAGCTGTTTGTTGTTGGTCTTCTGTAAGGGGGTTGTGGGGGTAACGGCACAGTAGAATGTGAAATCCAGATTCACAAACTGTGATTGTTAGGGAATAAATTTAGGAGTCTTATTGTTTATTTTTCTTATGTTTTTTTTTTCTATATTTTTCTCCTTAGACATGTCAGCGTAGTGCTAAAGGTTGTACTATTAAATGTGTACAGAAATATAAATATAAAGATTTTACAGAGAATAAACATCCATTTGTAATAACAAATTGGGTGTGATAAGATTGTAATGTAAAAAAAATTAAATAAAGAATATTTATTAATATGCAACATGATGTCCTTTTCTGTCTCACTGCAAAAGGATTTATAAACACTGAATCTTTCCTCATAAACACTAAGATTTAGTTCAGTCTGTCCAATTAACAAATTAGGTTTTAAAAAATTTATTTGGCTTTGGCACCTGAACCCCAGATTTTATTAATTAGGAGTCTTTGTAATCATGCAGATTTTTAAAGTTTTTCGTGTTTTACTGTGAATAGTGTTTGCAGCACAGACCACACATTTTATTTTTTAATAAGATTACTTCCAACACAAGCACACTTGATGGTACAGTATGTTTGTGTCACTGYATATCACTTGAACAGTGTTGCAACTTCTCAGTCACAAGGTACACATTTTTTACAGCATACAAAGTTTGTTCTGTTTTAATATGAATGGGAACTTAGTTTTACCACATGAACATCATTTTATACAAAAGAAAACTTGAATTCAGGTATTAAAACCAGAAACTGGTTCATGGTCCTTGCTGCTCATTTTTTTTTGTGCACAGCAGTTTTTAATTTTGGTTTTGTGCAGATACCAAAAATTTACCGGTATTTACAGTAACTTTGTAGACATGATGTCTAAAATTACGACAAAACAAAAAGTGGAAATGGAATTTAAAAAACTCATAAGCAGCCCTGTCTTTATGGACAATATATTATGGAAGCCCATTTCCGCCACCCTGATAAAAAACTAAATAAAACTTGTATCTCATAATTATGACTTAGCTATCTCATAATTATGAGATACTATCTCATAATTATGACTTAGCTATCTCATAATTATGACTTAGCCATCTCATAATTATGAGATAGTATCTCATAATTATGAGATACTATCTCATAATAATGAGATAGCTAAGTCATAATTATGAGGTGGCTAAATCATAATTATGAGATACAAGTTTTATTTTTTTATCAGGGTGGCGGAAATGGGCTTTCATAATATATACTTTAAAACTAGAAGCTCCCTACCTCAAAATTTTGAACTCACCACCTGTTGATCTTAAAAAACTTAATGCACTTCACATCTTTAAAAACATTATATAGTAATGCATTTATAGTGCCCACAAAATGTATTCATGCCCTTAGAAGTTAAAAAAATTAAATTAAAGTCACCATTCTGCAGAGTAATATAAATTACATAAAGCTTTGTAATGTAAAATAAGTGATTGGATAAATGTTCACCCTCTATAAAGTAAGGGTTCTAATTAAACTCAAAGAAAAACGGTGAACTTTGTATATTGTATTTACATGTATTTATATTCAATCTAATACAGAAGCATGTATTTTAATTTTCTTTATTTTTAACTTATGTTTAATGTTAATTCTTAGAACAAATCCTTTTATTAGTGACATGTTTAGTTCTCCAGCAGAGGGCGCTATTTGCCCATTAACCGGATGTCAGTGAAGGAAAGTGGGAGACGCTTCATATGTCTGCCCGTCCCGAGGAGCGCGTGGGTCGGTCTGGACTCTCGCTGGCAGTCGCTTCCCTGGATGCTGAGCGGACTGGAACACGAGTCTGGAAGTGGTGCATCTCACCACTGAACCGGTCTACATAACAGCGATTCAGCGTCGTTCGGTCTCCTCGCTGGGGTAAAGGAGCTGTCGAGCCGCGTAGGAACGGTACCGGTGCGCAGAGGGGTGGAGATGGAGCGGTGGAAAGGCAGAGTGGCCCTGGTGACCGGAGCCTCGGTGGGGATTGGAGCCGCTGTAACCCGGGCTCTCGTCCAGCACGGCATGAGGGTGGTGGGCTGTGCCAGGAATGTCGACAAAATTGAGGTGAGCCATATGATATCAGTGTTTAAAGAAAAAAAAAATGTCGGGTAACATTTTGGTTATTTGCCGGCTAACATTAGCGTTCCAGCACGAGCTAAAGACCTTTAGCCTCTGTCTCACTGCTTCTGATAAAGTCCTGATTTTATTCTGAAACATGGCTAATATGGAAATATGGACACTTCCGTTTTGTTCTTTTAAAATGCTCCGGCCTGGTTAAATGAGGCAAACAAATTGGCAATTTAAAAATATTCATTATATCTAGTTTCATAGATAAATTTTATATTRAACGCAATCACAGCCGCCAAGACGTCACGTTAAAAGTAGCTAAAACTCAGCTAGCTAGTGATGCTAACTTAGTGTTTCCGTTTAACATCTTGGGTTTTTTACATATTTGATGTCTTATGCATATATAGAATAATACAGTGTWTAAAACTGAATGTAATGCCCCTTGTTTCCATTAATTATATGAGACAAACATTATTGTTTTATCAGTATCACTCACGTCCTCACTGTGTAACATTATCTATAATTAACTTTGCACTTCACGTTGGGGAGAGCCACTCAAAGAAATACAGAGATCATATGTGACAGCTGTAAATATGTATAATATGTGTAAATGAAATTGTCAAGCATTTCCTCACAGGAAAGATTTACTGGCACTTGTACATTAAATTTTAAAAAGCACAGTTCTTACATATTTATTTCAGAAAGTGATTATGCTACAATGTTAGTAAAAATATAAGTTTGATTATCCTGTTTATTATATAATTACTTTTAAAGTTTAAAAAATGGCACTTATGTGAACACTGAGGGCTGTTTGGAAATTTGTTACAGTTTAAACTGGGTTGTTAAAGCTAAAAAAAAGCTGAAGAGTAGCTAAGATGCAGAATACTAGGTAGAAGCTAAGAAAAGCAGTACATTATCTAAAAGAAGCACAATGCTAGGTAAAGGCTAAAAGAAGCAGGACACTAGCTAAATAATAAGCTGAACACTAGCTAAAAACTAATAGAAGTACAATACTATGTAAAGGCCAAAAGAAGCAGGACACTAGCTACAAGCTAAAAGAAGCAGATCACAGGGTAAAAGCTAAAAGAAGCATACTGTACCACATATTAAAAGCTAAAAGAAGCATACTGTACCACATATTAAAAGCTAAAAGAAGTGATACACTAGCTAAAAGAAGCATAACACATATTAAAAGCTAAAAGAAGTGATACACTAGCTAAAAGCTAAAAGAAGAATAACACTTATTAAAAGCTAAAAGAAGCTGTACACTAGCTACAAGCTAAAAGAAGCAGGCCACTTATTAAAAGCTAAAAGAAGCTGTACACTAGCTATAAGCTTAAAGAAGCAGGACACTGTAGTTAGAAGCATAATTGTAGCTGAAAGCTAAATGTATCAAAGCTCTAGTTAAAAGCTGAAAATAGAAAAAGATTAGCTAAAAGTTAAATGTATCCAAARGTAAACATTTWAAGTAGCACAAGAAGACAAAAATATAACAAGTGTACTRAGGCAAATTTCAAACAAAAGGTATTTGCATGTTTTGAAGAGCTTCCAAAGTATGAAGAAAACTTTTTCAGATAAAGTTACCTGCTTTGAAAGTTACAAAAACCAGAAATCAGAATATATAGCCCACTATATCCTGAATGAGCTGAACAAACAGCTAACACAGGACAAGTATGTAAGTAATTAACAATAGAGTGAAAGCTGAGTCAGCGTTTACTCCCTGTTACTCCATGAAAAGATAAGGTTTCATGAACTGCACCTTGCTTACCGTGTCGGCTTATAAGTAAGCCTCACCCTGTCATTTAACTGATTCCAGCTCACATATTATGAACATACGTAAATGTTCTCATTAAGTTCAGCTTTGCACAAATTGTGGCAGGAGCATGTTTTAGTTACTTTTTATCTTTTGTATTTGGAAAGTGTGTGTGTGTGTGTGTGTGTGTGTGTTGCCAAAATACCTCTGTAACTTGGGATTTTAATGAGACTTTCAGGAAGTAATGTTTGGATCATGAACCATAACTGTTAAGCTTATGGAGCCAACCCAATTGAAGATGTTTACCACAATCAGCCGATTTTAGAAAACATAGAAAAATGGCTATAATTTAGCCATTTTTACAGATATTGTGCTACAGTTTGGTGTGGTTGTAGCCGACTCACTCAACCATGACGTCTTGCCATAAAGTGTAACATTAATTTCAAGGTTTGACCAAAACAACTCAATCATTTCTCAACTGATTCAAATGATTTTAGTCTGAAACTGAAAGTTGTCAGGCAGTTTAAGAATTTTAGCTCATTTATTGAACCAGTTCATTAAAGTTATTGAGTGAMGAAACACTTATAAAGCCTTTATTTCTTTATTTTTCACAAAGTGGTCGTTGTGTGATACCAAGTACCCAGACCTGCTATAGTCCTTCGGAAGAAAGAGGCAACAGACTGAGATGGCGTGTAGTTGGATCATATTTTCACTTGGTGTGTGTCATTTGGCTTCAWTCTGCTCTGCAGTGTGTAGTCAAACCAGCTTCTGCTTCCTCATCATTTCCAGTTTACTCAGATTTTTTTTTCAAAGATCTTGACTAAAGTAACACGTGTTTCCAAGAGGTGACACTGCTTGATTCAAACTAGTCTTTTTTCTTTTCTTTTCAAGTTTGTTTGAATAAATACCATATTTATGTGTTGCGTTTTTGACAAAGCGAGCATTTCCTTCAAACCTTAACACACACACCCTACAGAAGCGTACAGGGAATGTGAGTTATGCAAGAGTTAGCTTGCCTCCATTCATGCTCTGCTCACATGGCTCCTCCTGTCAATAGTTAACTGCTTCAGCTTGTGTCAGCCCGTCTGTGACTTCTGTAAGACTGAAAAAGGTCAARCGCTTTATTCTATATAATACTTAATAACTGTTTGTTAGTAAAGTTCACCGTTTTGTTTATTTGTATTTAAACTAGAGACAAATGGAGGTTGTTTAACGTGAAAGCTTTGTCTCTGTAATAGTACGAATGACCTCATTGGCTCTACAAGGCTTTGAAAGAGCGTCTGTGAAAAGTGTRGGACAGAGCTAGCACTGTGCTAACACTGCTTTGTGCATGTTTTTAGAAGTTGWGCCAAACTTGGGTTGCTTCTCGTCGGGTGATGCGTGTTCCAACCGAGGAATAGTTTCTGACTTCCTCTCTGGGTTTTACTACTTTTATCCTCGGGAAGTCACCTCCTGTAGTCGGTTCGTTACKGTGAAGAACGGGAAAAAAAAAACATCACAGCTGTCTGTTTTCTGTGTAAATAAAACTCTGAGAAAACGGTGTCAGTATTGTTTTGTTGTCAGTGAGAATACAGAGTAGACAGCAGTGGGGGTAGGGGGTTCAGTGAGTTGGAGGGAGATGTGTGGTCACCATGGGCTCTGTGCAGGAATGGAGATGACAGGGCCAAGCAGCAGAGACTCACTTCTCATTTAACTCCTGTGAAACCCTTGAAGAGCAGAGGAAGAGGCTTTTGTGGGAATGAATAATGACTGAAGGAGCTAAAAGCTCTGCTGCTTAGATCTGGACAGAGGCCGGCCCACTCAGCCCACATGTGTCCTACATCTGCTGATCCTGAGGAAAGTTAAGTTGTAGGAACAACATGGTTACGGGAGTATGAACCTATCTCCTGACTGCTCACAGCTGACTCATTCAAAATTAAAGGTGCATTCCTTGAAGGTCTGCACGTCACCTGCTGCATGCATGACAAAGATAAAAAAAAAACCTCTCAGCTCTCATCAAACCCATTGTCATCAAAATGAGCTGAGTTACAGACACTTATGTGTTTGCTAATTGCTAAAGTTGATTAGTTGTGGCAGCTATTTTGAGTCACGCCAGAAGTTAATCAGTCTTAAATTAAATATAGGCATTTAAAAACAAAACAACACACACATTTTGAATTTGTCTGTAATTTGTCTTGCAGCTGTAAAAATCCTCTTAACTACAACTACGTCTAGCCTTTTCATTTCTTTTTCTCCAGCACAACAGATCAACATGGGTGGAACCCATTATTGTGGCAGAAACCGATGCTGGGTCTGTTTGATGATTTATTTTTTATTTATTTATGTATTTTTGTCCAGAAGAGAGTGTAAACTTTGATTGTCAGGTCACCTGTTGAACTAAAAATCAAATGATTCCAGCCACTAATCGATAAGTTGGTGTGTCTAGATTCAAAATACAAATATTTCATTGAAATTAATATTTACTTTCATTTCATAAGAAAATGTCACAATTCTGTAGTCCCTGTAAGGATTTTCTTCTGGTGTGGTTTTCTCTGTTTTTAGATCTGACATGAAAAAAAACGAGTTGTAAGTTAAAATACAGATTTTATAAATATTTCCCCCCTCCTCTAAATCCTTAAAGTTAATGGGATTGCAGCTCAAAGTGTGTCTACATGTTGTGAATTTAAGAGGAGCACTGCTGTGTTTTCATGTTTCTACATTATCCTCAGGTCACGGCTTGTGTGGAGGAGATTAGTCAGGACGCTGCTCCTCTGAGAGGGGTGGGGTGAAATCTGCCACAAAATCAAATTTAATGCCCGCATGTTTGTATGAAAAATACATCATGTGTTGGTTCCTGAGCAGGCCGATGAGTAACAGGGAAAGAATCACTCTTTTTGTTTTAAGTAAGGTGGTTTTAGGAAACCTTCCTTAGTATTTGAGATGCCTTATTTGTAGTTGTTATTACATTGTTTTAAAATAGAGCTAAATAAAAAGGAACAATTATGTCTTCATAATAAGTCTCTGCATCACTGACGTGTCTACGTTTGAGGCTTTGACCAAAAGAGGTGTGTCACAATCCAAAGCTGTGACTGCTGCAAATTTAGATTGGATAATTTTAGCAGATGTTGTGCCAAACATTTGAGGAGAGTGACTCTGCAGAAAGTATTTCAAGGGAAGATGGCCTCTGTCAAACGTTAACAGTTCAGTTTTAAAGATGAACAGTCTGGGATTGAACAGAAACTACAGTCAAGTAATGTGTTGGTTA